CCCACACTCCCGGCTCTGACAACCTTCCACAATCACGTACTCGAACTCCCACTTTTACTACTACAAAAAATCCCATTTTGTGCCGATTTGAAGTGACTTGATCTCGAGAACTAAATTTTGACACTTAAGAAGCGAAAATAGGGTTGTTCTACATTTTATGTAGAATGACTTATCGATATTACATCGTCAAATCTCTAGTTTTGTGAATCTTCGCCGACAGCCAAAATGGTGAAGAAGTAGGCACAAAACGTGACCTCCAGTCTATCTTTTTCTGTAGAATCGAAACAAACAGTGCTGTTTCTTCAGCACAGTTACTGAGCGACAGAGATAACGCTATACAAAATTGATATCGGGTCCTTTAAATGCTGATATGCAATAATTATTTATTTTGGTATTTGAAATACAGACCGCTTTTAAAGAACCTTTTAATAATCGAAAATTAATTTCTGTTCCGTTTTCTTATTTGATTCAAAATGTGCGATATGATACCGCTAAAAATTGAAAACAGTTATTGCGCATAATATTCAACCAAAGCGGACTTCTTTATTTTTTTTATTGTTTTATTTCATTTATCTTAGGTTCAAGAGTGGATATGCCCAGATCACTGGTCTGTATTAAAAAATAGGCGATATTTTGGAAATTACTGTTTTACAATAGCGAAGATGACAGCATATCACTATTAGTTACCGTAAACGCTGATGTTTGTCAAATACACGAAAGGTAGAAATTTTTAGCCTGTCCATTTATACAGGTCAGTGACCTAGATGTATTCTATTTCCACGTTTGACGTAAATGTGTTAAAGGTACGTTTACATTGTATCTTAAGACAAAAAATATTGAAAATTATACAAAACATTATTTGACTTAGTTAATGTGACATCAATAATAAATTATGTTATTAGCGGTAACTTTATTGTGTTAAAGATTGTGGAAGGTGTTATTATTTAAAACAATTTACCTATATAAAACTTAATTTACTTCTAGGCTATTTTACCTTGTTTTTTTTTAATTAAGATAATTTCGATAATCTACATAATGTAGAAGTCTACCTAAACATCACATGTCATTTGCGTTTGAACTTTATTATGCTCAATGTTTATTTAGGAGAATTATTTAGTTACCTTTTACGATGATTTTCTTTGAGAAATATCTTTAAAAATCTTGGGCATAGCTCGAGTTTAGTCGTTCTTAGAACGAATACTCAAAACGTTCATCGCTTCAAACAGTAAAATAGTTCGAAATATGTTTAGGGAAAACGTTTACCATACTCTAGTCCAGTAAAGACAATTACGGTAGCGTGTAAACAATATGATGTTTAAATAAATTATTATATTTAAATAATTTGAAACATCCTGTATGTTATGAGATTTCTCTAGACAACTGTTTCCATTCGTTTTCTTTCGCTGTAGTCCTGATTAGTGAATATTACAATTTCAAAAATACTATTACATTGAGGACTTATTCGATAGTACATAACTTCATAGTTGTAAAAAGAATGGAATATAGTCGATTAGATACAGCATTTAGGATTCCCCGTTTTACTATTAGTCAAACATTCGTTTAAGAATACATTATAATAAGTATAAACCGGTGTTGATTTCCATCGTTTTCCGTGTAATTGATTTTTAATGCCGATTATTGCCAGTCTTATTCCTGTGAAGTTTTAAATTGGATTTAACGGCGGGAATATAGGGATTAAGCTATTTATAGTTATTTAAATTTCGCTTTCGTATATTATAATATAATGGGAATGGTGGAAATTATATAAATAAAGCAATATTGTTGTAAACATTTCCTTTGTGTGATGTCACATATAAATGTATACAGGGCGTTCAAAATATATCTTACCACTTGTTCGTGTTTAAATGGTGATATGTAATGTAATTATATATTTAAACTTTAACAGCATTACAAATAAACGCGGAATAAAGTTAAAATTAGGAATAAACTGATTATAAGCAAATAAAAATAAAATAATGTTTAATCCTTGTCAATATTACAATTATGAAAAAAAAAGTAATTAAACACAATAATGAGAAATGTAACTAATGAAATTTTAAAAAAATATTTAAAATTAGCGTTGCAATGCTGATCGGATTAGGTCCTCGCTCAGCTATAAATGCTGGATGCTCCTATTGAAGTACCAGCGCTGATCTTCCGCGAGAACCCTTGGTAAACCCGCGAGAAATATTGGTACAAATTTTGCTTATACTGAGTTTATTCCTAAGTTTAATTTTATACCGCGTTTATTTGTAAGACTGTAATGCACTAGCTATAAGCAAAAGGTATTTTGTGTTCATAAACCTTGTGAATTCTTACAGCTTATAATTTTAAGTGTTAATTTGTCGCTTTTCTTATATAGTTACAAATTATAATATGTATTCCTTTTTTATATGTTAATGGTAATATTTTCTCGTATTTATCGTAATTTTCAATTGGATTTTCGTAGATTCTTAATAATTTGTATGGAAACATAATTAAATATTGAACTTTCTCGAAGCAGATGTCGTAAAGGTATTTATTTGTTTGACTTTTTGATGAAGAATATATTGTCTGGTCATTTAGGAAGTGTTAAAATTGTGTAAAAAAAAAATATAAATTAATATCCTTGCCTTTGTAAAGTACACCAATTAGATTTAATACAAAATGTCATTGGTTTCAATTCTTTGAACAAGGCAACGTTTTCATTTATTTATTTTATTCTGTTAACAATTTGAAATGTTCATAAAATGTACAAAAAGTAACATACTATAAAAGTATGTAATTCAGACTGAATTCTACGACTGATTGCAGAAGAAGCAATATTAGAAGTAAAATAATTAACAAACTTCTAATAAAAACGCATTATCCTATTTATTTTATTACCTTATATAATGTTCGGTTTACATTATTCCAGTCCAGTTGAAATCGGCGCTGGGTAGGAAAATGTTAAATCACTAATGCACTTGTTTTTATTACTTGTAATCCAGCGCCAAAACACTAACTGGTGCCACTTAGCATACCAGTCCAATTAGCGTAGCGATCTCTTAAGGCCAGGCCGCAACTGGCATAATGTAGATGGCTTCAATCACTGGACTGGAATAATATAAACAAACTAATATAATCAGCCATAATCACAAGGTGTCCATCAAATGTATAAAAATTCTTATCTAGACAGAACTGTGCCAAATGTTTAAAAAACTTAATGTACCGTGAAATGTGAATCCAAATAAATAAATACAATTATTATTAATATAATATATGTATTAAAAATGTAACTCTTAGATTTATTAGTTAATAAGCGATATTGTCAATCTAATTATTGCTAAATATTTAAATACATCTTGTGCTGTATTTAGGAGCGTCTTCCATCTTAATAGTATTGTGAATTTGTTTCTCTTAGATAGCTTCGGGTCCGGGGAAAAGTGTTCGATGAATATTTATTTTTCTAGCATAAAGAATAATAATCTTCAAATCTTAATAAACCAAGACTATGTGATTTTTTTGTTGTAAAAAGTTAATAGTATTTTAATTCAGATTGATATTAATATTATTTAAGAAATGTCCTTTTTCCCGCGACCACGATCTCACTAGCCTTTCTTTCGGTGTTAATAAAATATATATGTAGATAAAATTTACAGCAATAATTAGTACCTAATTGTAGTGTACTTGGCTGTTGATGCTGCGTATGTATGTATGTATGACATTTACTAAACTATTACTATTTATTTCTTGTACTGGCTTAAGATGGTTGAAGTGTTTGTAAGCTATCGGAACTTTCACACATTGTTCAATTACTTCTTGAATTTTAGTAACTCGTTTTTAAAAAACCGACAAAATCATTGCTATCTCTTCTTTTTCAATAATAGTGAGGGAGACAACTATATTTATCGATGTTTCGTCAATGAATACTTACGGTCAAGATGACAGATTTCAATAAATTTGGACATTTTTTTATTTACATTTGCAATGTGTGAATGTTTTGTATGACGTGCGGTATGGGTTTTTGCAAAATGTATTTTTATTCTTCAAAAGAAGTCTTTCATTTAAAAAGTTATATCGATTTGATATTAAAATTGTTGCGGCTCATTATTTACAAGGTGAAAAAACAATTTCATAAATTATTAATTTATTTTTTAGGTTTAGTAAAAGTTTGTTTTAGTTACGTGGTCAGTTTGTGAAACGACTTTTGATGTATCAGTTTTCGATAAACAAAAGCCGTTGATTTTACAATGTGTATAATCTGTGGTTAAGCTTAGCTGTGAGCAAATCCGGGCTGTATTTTAAGTAAATAAATTATGATTGTTATAAGGTTGGTATGTTCGCCGGCTTACTCGACTTTTTTTTAATATTATTGCTATTGTTGAAAGTTATTGCCAAATTTTTATTTGTCCTAAAAATCTTTTGTCTATGTACATATCCATTAAATAAATTATGTACCGAGAATCATCATGTGTTTTCTTTTAAATACCCTTGTGGAAGATGCGACGCTTTGGGCTGTTTCCATAGTTTTTATATGATGCTTAAAAAATCTTGATTTATTTTGTAGACTCTACCAATAAAAACAAAGAAGACGATTACACATCCGTAGTGCTCTAGTTTTTATCATGGTTTCTGAAAATGTTCTTGGTTATAATAACAAGGCAATTAAAACTTACATAATTATTTATTTCAGAATAATTTTACAACGCTAGTCGATCTACATAAGATAAAACAAAATTTAACATAATACATTACTGTCTAATTTAATTGCCACATAGAGTTCACTAATATACTACCGTATAGAGCCGGTAAATGGTCACTAAAACTTTTAGTGGCCATTTAAAGTCTCCGAGTGCGATAGACTTACAAAATATGTGATTACACGTCTGCCCTATGTTACATAGTCTAAAACATTCTATATGTAAGAAAAATCAGTGATGGTACCAATACATATTGTGTCTGTTTTGTCAAAGAGAGTGAAAAGGACGGCAATATGTATTGCCATCACTTCGCTATGTGTCAGCTATGTTAGTGTCATTGAAGTGGTTCATGTCCTACAGTTAATGTTGAAGCGATTAAGAGAAGTATATTTGTCGCGCTTCGGAAGGCGACTGCTCCATGGGGCAGTATGGACACTTCAACCTGCAATAAAAAAAAAATCATTACACAGAGTTGTAACAAACGAAGGAAGGAGTTTACAGAGAAAACAGAAACAGTCATAAGATCTAAGTTTAATTTGACATCTTTTATGGCGTCACACATTAAACATATGTTTATTTTTTTAATTTGCATGCGATAGGTAATAAAAATAACGAAAAATCATGTGAGACTAGACTACTACTGACT